CTACGCCCTTCCTTTCCCCTTGCCTAACACAACCCCCGCCCCCTTTCTTCCCCTCGTTCTTAACCCTTCCTCCCACACCCTTAGTCTTTCTCAGCCCCAACTACTTGCCTTCCCCTAACCCCCCTCCCCAAGCCTATACTTTCCCTTCCCACCCTCCCTTCCCCAACCTCTTCTCCCATCTCCTTCCCTTCCCCATTTTTTTTTCCCCTTCTTCCCTCCCCTTCCCAATCCCTTTCCCTCCCCTACTACCTACCAAACCCCCCTCCCCAAGCCTATACTCTACCTTCCCCCCTCCTCCCCAACCTCTTCTCCATCTCCTTCCCCTCCATTTTTTTTCCCTTCTTCCCTCCTCCCCTTCCCCAATCCCTTTCCCCTCACCCTACTACCCTACCCAAACCAGTGTCCTATCCCTCTCTCTTCCCCAATCCCCTACCCCTTCACCCCCCCTTTCAACCAATCCCCCTTCCCTCCTTCCATGCCCCAACCCCTACCCCTTCACCCCCCCTTCAACCCAATCCCCCTTCCCTCCTTCCATGCCCCAACCCCTACCCCTTCACCCCCCCCTTCAACCCAATCCCCCTTCCCTCCTTCCATGCCCCAACCCCTACCCCTTCACACACCCCTTCAACCCAATACCCCTTCCCTCCTTCCCTGCCCCAACCCCTACCCCTTCACCCCCCCCTTCAACCCAATCCCCCTTCCCTCCTTCCCTGCCCCCCCCTCAACCCCTTCACCCCCCCCCCTTCAACCCAATACCCCATGCCAGCCACCTGAACCGCTCGTTAACGCTACCGTAAACCATCACAGAACGAGCGCCGCCCCGGAAGCCTTGCCCGGACCGCGATTACCCCCTCCTCCCTTCCCCCCTTCCCCACCGCTAACGAATGGGGAAATGGATAAAAAAGCAAGGTAAAGAGAAGAAAGAGACTAGACGGTAAAAAAAGAGAGAGAGAAAGAGAGAGTTTGTGGGTGTGAGAATGAGTGAGTTAGTGAGTGAATGACTGACTGACTGATGATTGAGTACACTCATACCCATAAACATTATTTATAGATGTATGTTTATATATATATATATATATATACATATATATATATATATATATATATATATATATATATACACATATATATATATACACACACGTGTGTGTAATATATATTATATATAATACATAATGTATTTATAATATATCATAATGTATAATATGATGTATGTGTAAATAATATATATATATAGATAAACATAATATATATATATATATACACTATCCAATTTCCTCACTAATATCCACACTAAGCAAAACAATTAGTTTCAATCTTAAAAGACAGAAACAAAAAAAAACCTCCCCTCTCCCCCCAAAAAAAAAGAATAAATAAATAACAAATACACGACCAAATGAGACAAGCTACAAGAATCAGGGAATGTCACGGAGCACAAAAAAGGGGAAAGAAAAAAGAAGGCTTCAGTAAAAAAAAAAAAAAAAAAAACGTAAACAAAACGACGAAAAAAAGGGACAGGAGGGGGGAGGGGGGGGCGACTAAGCCAGGACCCGAAGCAGACTCGACCTTGCTCGGGTCCGGGTATCCCATCTTCTCCTCGGGTAACCAGCACGGGTTACTCATTGCGTTTTTAATTACTATTCCCAAATCCTTGGTGATCAATGGCAAAGAGAGAGAGAGAGAGAGAGAGAGAGAGAGAGAGAGAGAGAGAGAGAGAGAGAGAGAGAGAGAGAGAGAGAGAGAGAGAGAGAGGGAGAGAGAGAGAGAAGAAAGAAACGCTTTTTCAAAACAAAGCGAGAAAGAAATAAAGACTTCATTAAAAAGAAAATACGAATACGATAAGCCGGAAAACAACTGCAGCAGCTACAAAAAAAAAAAACACCAAACAGCAAGAACAACAAAAACAGCAACAAAGGTACCAACAACAACATCGACAACAACATTAACAACAGCAACAACAAAGACAACAAAACAACAACAACATCCACCCCCCCCCCATCCAACCCTAGCTAGAGCCACTCGCCGCCAAGCCACGTCCGACTCCTCCTATTACCAGAGATTATGCAGATTTATGAAAATATTCACGAATCAGCATTCAAGACGGCACTGACACGCCCGTCACCTTCATTAAGAGGATTCGCCGCCTCCGATGAGATGTAAGTGTTTGTAAGTGTTTATTTCCCCATTCATTACACTTACAAAACACACACACCCTTTCCTGTCGTCCATGTCTGATACGAATACAGGTAGACGAACAACAACAACAAAA